GAACCAGTGCTACATTCAACATACCATGTGACACACAAAAATTGATGTTTATCTGTGTTTTTTAATATTTGCTTTCAAATTAAGAAATTGAGTAATATATATAGTACTAAAATTTGAATTACAGTTTGATTCTAAATTTATTGACATAAATTCATGAAGTAGTAGTTCAATAAAATTTTGAATGCGAGTCAACAAACGAGATGACATGGCCTTTCACCCGTGACCCGTCTTGAAAGGGTCCCTTTCAATATTGGATGTTGGGTCCCCGGATCAATATCTCAAACCTACCACGTGTCATGTTCTGGAGTCAGAGTGGTTCTACATTCCCTCCAATCTCTTGAACTGGAGGTGAAAACGATATGATCCTTATCCTACCCTTGAGTAGGTTGTCGGTTCCCAGCGGTTTGGCTTTTGGATGTAGTTGACTTTGCGAGTACAAACCATCATGCCCTAGCCGCTCTACACCTAGGGGCACATCCATTGATTTACCCATTTTCATACTTTGTGGGATTAAGTTACATAGATATTTCACAATTAGGATCACTATCGTGCCTCAGTTCTCTCCAACTTGGATGTGCTTCTCTCTTTTCCTTCCCTTATCTACTACACACTTCACAGATGGGCAAGGAGTATACCTGCTCAGAAGTGGTGTGGTTCCCTTCATCAGATCTTCAGATCTGACTCTCTCATTTCCAGTGGTATCCTTCGTATGCTTTCAGGGGGTACTTCTGTCGTTGTCTCACACCGATCCCTCCACCCAATGTGAGATTCTAGTAATCTCGTGAGAGGATAGAAGAACTGTATCATAAGTTAAAATGTTTCTATACTGAAAATGTATTTTCGAGAGGTATTTCCCTCTTCTCATCCTTCCTCCCCACTTTCATCTGGTGCTTACATCTTCTGCCAAACTTTGAAGTGATAGTTTGGTAGAGACATATAGAGGGAACAACATGCATCACGTATGTTGCACTCCTTCTGCTGGAGGAGTGACACATGATGTTTTGCATGAGAGACATGTTGGAATCATTTGATTCCAATAAGGAGGGGGCAAAAGGCTTGTGGCATGCGCAAAGAAAAAAGTTTGCATATAGAGAGCAGCGTTGGATGAGAATAGGTGTCTTGTGAATAGAGAGAAGTACTTATCGGAAATACATTTTCACTATAGAAACATTAGAACTTTTGAAATGTCATTCTCTACACTTGAGCTGTATAAGTAGATTGTATAGTCATCAATATATTTCTATAAGTGTTTCTCTGATAGGTAGTTGCCACCCATTTCACAGTCAACATGAAAAATTCGTTTTTTAATATTAACATGAAAATCTTGTATGCAAACTACTCAGTCTCTGTCAGACTCTGACTCCATAAATTCAGACAAATCTTTAGTAGAAATACTTAATTAAAGAAATTAATTAATTAGAAATTAAATAGAAATTACAAATTAATATTAATATTAGAAATTAAATAAAAATTAGAAATTAATAATTAGAAATTAAACAACCTTATAATATTTACTAAAGCTTACCAAATTATGTGAAGATACACTTAGTATATTTTCATGGTTACATGATGGTTGTAGGTTGGTCAAAATGACAAATCCTGTGTACAGAGTTAAACTGAATATTGCACCATTTATTCTAGATGTGTGGTTGAAATGAAATCTGGTACTGTTTGTTATATTGTTTGGTTTAAGTAAGCATTCCAGAGATTATTATAAAAAACATGGTTTGGTTAAACTAATCACTATGCTATGTGTTTTAGAAGTTGTTTAATAGTTTACCTAATTTTTGTTTTGCATTATGTTATTAAGGTTGATTACTATATTTTTTTAGATGTTGACCCACCACGGAGACTGATGTGTGGTGGTAGTCAACTAGCTCTAGAACGTATGCTTCAATTTGGTCGAGAACTGCATTCTTTTAGTGTTCAACTAAAAAGGGAATTTGGAACTAATGACGCCAACAAAAAAATGTTGCAGGTGGGTTGATCTTAACCTGCAGTTAAATATACATATATCAAAGTGCCAGAGACTTTCAGAAGTTATTAAAGATATCATAGGACTGTGATAGTTGAGTTGGGTCTTTAACTTTAGTTTTAATCCATAATAATTATTAAGTAGTAAACACAATAAATTCTAAAAGAAATAAACATGACTGAATTCTGACATTGACATTAAAAACATATTTGAGATATTCAAGTTCAACTTACTGCGGCCCACCCGCTTATGGTTTATCATTACAACGTATTTGAAGATACTCTATTAACTTGTTTAATATTCATTCAATGGTACACTGAGCATACTTAAAGGTATCTTATGAGATGTGTATATGGTTCATATATGCTGTCTTAGTATTTCACATAGATATATTTCTGTGTTTGTTGGTACTGTATACATATTGCTCACACTTATCTTTGTGTGTTTCTTTTCCCAGGATGCCTTCAGTCTTCTAGCCTATTCAGATCCATGGAATTGTCCAGTTGGTTATCAGTTAGATCCGGTACAGCGAGAACCAGTCTGTGCTGCCCTTAATGGTGCAGTTCTTGGTAAAACTTCAGATATAACTCTCTTAACATTAACTTGTGTGTATGTGTGTGTATAGTATTTTTAAAAACTCCAGTCTATAATAATAATAATGCTAACTTTCTGTATTTCTTCCTAAATGTGCAGACATGCTATACCATAATGTCTACTTTTTGTTAAGTGTTAAAATGAAACATAGCTTTAGTGTTTAGTTATAATATGAAGAAAACTATAAAAATAAAAAAAGAGAAATTGAAAAAGTTCGAAGAACATTTTTGATATATTTTTTTCACCTATTAAATAAGTTTATCACTAAAGAAGCACTCTTTGAAGTTTTCATAGTAAGTGAAAGTCAGGTCAGTACCAATAGGATACCAGGGTATATATATTTTTAGATGCTTGGAGAACATGTATAAGTAGGTGTATAACCTATCATAAAGGGTTGGATGTGATCTAATATCTAGTGTGTTTGGTTATGAATTAAATGGTTCAAGGTTTGAGACAGAAAGCCACTGAATATGCTTCACATTTTTGGCCATGGGTGTGTTATCGAAGTGCCATTTAATTCCATTATCTTGTTCAAAGAGCTGGGTAAAGTACTTGTAGTAGTGGGTACTGCTACCTGACCACCATCCTTTTAGAGATAGCTATACTTAACTTTGAGTCTCTGGCCTAGCTCTTTAGTGCTTATAGCAAATAATGAGTTGTTTTCTATTGCTACCTGGCTTCTTGACAACTTCCTGGTTTTAAATATTTGCAAGTCACAATATGTGATAATATCTCTGGAACAGGTAAAAAGGACTTGTGTTTTAATGGCATTACTCTATCCAGGGTTGATTCAATAAAGGTTCTAGGAGTTGTTATTCAGAATAATCTTAAATGGGATGAACAAATTGAAATGATTTCTAAAAAGCTAATCAGAGTAGTTTATATAATGAGCTGGTGTAAGAGGGTTTTTTCTACTCCAAGTCCTCTATCAAATCTATTATGCCATTTTCTTTAGTCAAATGACTTATTGTTTAAGTGTTTGGGACTCACACTTTGGTGCATTAAGGCCAGTCTGGCTATTGCAAAAGAGTGTAGTGACATTCTTGATAGGCCTTCCTTACAGAGTATCTGTTTCTAATAAATTTAAGGAATACAGACTATTCATTGTTTATCAGGCCTGTGTTTACTGCTTCATTTGTGTTGCTAAGGATATTACCTTCTTTAATCCTGATATGAATTTGTTAATCCCTTTGAGAAAAAGTTTAAGTAAATGTATACCATTACAATAATTTCTAAACCTAGAGAAACATGTTTCAAATAGACTTATGTAAGTGTATCTTTAAAACAAGTGATAAGTTTTTCAGCTGTATGTGTTTATTATTATTTTTTACTTTAAGTTTATCCATTGATAGCTCACAATTGAACTCTACAAAGTCTATACATATTTGATATTAACTTTTGCTCGAAAAAAGCTACCCAACTACAATAAAAATCAACCCAGTAATGAGTATAGCCAATTAAATAAACTTTTTATGTTCTTACTAATAAAAATTAGAATTATTTGATTCAACATACACATTGTATGTACAAATTAACCAAGATTTTATATATTCATGCTTTTGGTGGATGTACGACCAAAAAATCCAAATTAAGAGACCCAAATTAAGCAAAAAATAATAATAATATTTGGAAAATATTTTGAAAACAAGTGATATTATTAAACTAATAAAATTACATTTATGTATGGGAGTTTGTATTTCCTTTTTAAAAATATAGATATGCTCAAAATTCATTGTTAGTTTTATCTAATAGTAATGATATTAAATTACTCAAAGTTACTTTTTTTTATCAATCTCACCTCAATTCGCAAATATTTTTGCGCCCAAAGTAGGTACCCAATGATAAAATAATTCCTGAATGAAGCCTAGTTAACTGTACAAACTACACCCATGTATTACTAAATTTTCATGAATTTCATCATGCTTGTTTTAATAATGTACTGTATTTTAAAATATGTTAAGTATATTTTTTGATCCAAATTGCAGTAGCACTGCTTAAAGTAAGTAAACACGTATGCTTTATGTATGTGTAAAGTGAAACAAGACCCATAAACTGTGAGGAAGCATAGAGTTTGTCATTTTTAAGGATGTCCTCCTATATATATGGGAGGACATATAAATTAGTTCTGTGTTACCACTTGTTTAAGGGGACTTGTACATGATTGAGAATAATTCTCTCAGGATTTTAACAAGCTTTGTTTCATTCTGAATTACTATTACATGGTCTTGATGAACTATGGCAGCTCTGAAAGAGAGGTGAAATTAAACATTTTAGAACTGTAAGGTGGTTAACAACAATCTATGTATATGGTGTTTCAAATGGGTTATGGAAAAGGGGTGTAATTCCCTGAAAAGGGGTTAACTCAGTAATATGTGGCAAGTTTAAGAAAAGACTGGGAAGTATTATTGGTACTTATCAACCACAGATAAATAAAAGTAATTGTCAGCTTAAGTTCGATGTGTTTATATTTTTGAATATTCATGTATGCATGTGTTTAAATAAATGATCTTTTGAAGCCAGTTAAAAATTTATTTTAAAGCACATACTTAAGTTAATTTTTATATATGTGTGTGTGTGGTACATTTTACTGATGAACAAAGGAAAGAGAATATTCAATAGATTTTTTTTCTTTCTAGAATCTCATAATTTACCACGTCAACCACCACTAGAACTTGCCTTAGCTCATGCACAAGAAATTGTAAGGCTCATGTCCAGTAATGGACTTGGCTCCAGTGCTTTTGCCAACTTCGAAGCTTTTCTGCATTGACTATGTTCCCGATTTAGAACATTTTGTTTTCATACAGTCAACTGAGTTCCCTAAAATTATGACTAATTTGTGTTTAACTCCACTTTGTACGGCTGTAAAATTTGTTTTTTCTTCTAAATTGTGAGTATATATAGCAAAGGTCTCACTCTTCAGTGACAATAAAAATACTGCTTCACTTTGAGAGGTGGTTTTTAAGTTGCTTTAGTTATCTGAGCTTTTCTTGTTGGTCAGATATGTGTAAAAAATAGCTGGAAATTCACAAATGAGGGAAGATGTAGCAATTTTGGTAGTAAAAGTTTCAATTCGAATGTTTCTACCTTTTGAGCTAAGAGGTTCCACAATGTATAATTAATTTTAATTGATAGGACTATTTTGTGATTAGCACATGTCTGTAATCTCCATATTAGGTTGTTATAATATTTCATGTCTGTAAATGCTTCAGATTTGTTTGTTTTATCATTAAAAACAGGACATTTTTACTTCTTGCAATTTTAACATAGGCATATTGAGTAATAGTTGTTGAAACAATTAATATAAAATTGGATGTGGCTACTTCTAGAGGATATGGTTTAGTGTTAAATAAGTCTTCAAATGATTGTCTGAATCATACTAGTGGTAATGAAGTAAAGTTTAAAAGAAAATCACTATTTGCAGTAAATTAATACAGATCATGAAAACAAAAGAAAAAATTTGATTTAGGGATTATATTGATAGTTTGTTAATTTTTGAAAAATTGAATTCAGTTTAACAGTAAAAACTATCACTTCATTTTTTATTTTTTCTTAGTGAAAGTTTTGAAGTCAGATACATTTTATTTAGTAATGTATCAGCCAAAAAGTTCTGTTGGAAAACTTTTCTTGTTCATATTAAAATGGGCAACAATTCAAGTATGTTTCTCACCAAGTTACAATTTTAGTATCAGATAGACCCTTATAGTTGTTAAAGTTTTGGTATTATTTACTGTCAATATGACTTATCACTTTTGCATCAGATATTAAGTAATATAACAAGGCTTTACTAAGTTAATATATATATATATATATATATCTTAAAAGTTTTGAATCTGTATTCATTGGTTTATTCAAAGCTGAAAAAAGAGAATGACTTCATTTCGTAGTGTATATGGCAGTCTCTCTATTCATACACAAACACAATAAATGTATTGTTACAATAAGTATTTTGTGTTTTTAAAACACATTTGGTATGGTAAAACAACAGTAAAATTATTCCTGTTATTGTAGGATACAATTTTTTTTACCCGGTGTATGTTTGTAACTGACAAGCTTAACTAATCTGATATAAAAATTGAAGTGGATTAAAAGTGAAGAAAGTTTTTTAATTGGTTTGAAACGTTTGTTTTTTGACAACAGTTAAATGCCATGTTTTGAACTTTTCAACTGTCATTGTTATCAACGTTCAGAAATTACTGGAGTAGTTTATATAAAAATTTGATAATTAGCAAACATCTAGCAAATTAGTAAAAAAAGAACCTGGCATTTCTTTGTAGTAAGAGCCATTTCGTAAGCATCCTAAGTCTTATAAGTAATAATTTCATATTCATTTGAAATGTTCATGCTCCAAGATATATCTGTAATCAAGATTTTTGTTTTTTGAATAATCTATTTTCAGTTTATTTAATACAAAATGTTTTGAAAATGTGATTAAAAAACTGTCATTAGATTATACAAGGTAATATGTATCATGTTAATGATTGGAATATTATATTTTTGAGCAACATCACAGGTGTGGTGTGGCTTAAGTCAAGATGAACATGGAATAAGCATAAGAAGAAACCATGATGAAGGTCAGATAACTTACACGTACTCTGTTTTTTGACATAAAAGAAACAGCTTTAAAATCTTTTAACTGTATTTCATTTCACCAGCAAATCAAAAAAGTACAGAACTTTGAAATTATGGTGTAGGTGGTGTTCTTATCTCACTACTAAAATGTTACAGTTTACATTTTGAGGACTTTGATCCAAGTAAACTCTGTGGTGAGATGAAATCCTTAACACACAATGTGTTCTACACATGTTATGACTGTTCAATATTATATACGTGTCTTTACTAGAGTAGCAGTGTTTACATTTTTGTCTAGAACTTCAACTGTGTAAAAAATGATTGTACTGAGGTTTGTTGGTTTGTTTGATCTCAATCTTCCTTTGTTTATAAGAATTTTTACTAAAATCAGTATGAATGTAAAGGTCTCTTAACAAAAATAAAAACTGCACTTATTGCTAACAATATTTGTATTTTGACATCCTTTTTCAAGATATTCTTATTTGAAGTACAAGTGACAAACAAGCACTGTTCAGTTTTTAAACACAGTTTGTGAAATTATAATGTGAGTAAAGCGTTAAAATGTTTTAACTACAAACAAATTACAAAACTTTACAACAAAACTACTATGGGATCTTTGTTTATTAATACTAAATTTTTCTTAAACTTGTATTTCTTAAAAAATAAGTGTATTAAATACATTTTTACTGTGTATTGTCTTAAATCTCTGATAATGCCTTTAACAATCCTCATAAATCTGGCTCAACTGTGAAAACCAATGTCTCATCATATATGTATTCCACTGTAAACATTTATTTATATTTCTTTATACTTATTATAATTTTTTGTTAATGTTTAATGATTCTACTCTGAAAAATCAACTTACAAATTCATGAATCAATCACATGTTCAGAATTTTTCCAAAATGTCTTATAGTTGTGGATCTTCCAAAAATCAAATGTATAAGGCACCATGGCAGTTTTAACTGGGGGAAAGAAAATGTTTTATTGAGTGTATTATTAATTTACACGACACTTTTAAAAGAAACTATTAACCTCTTTGACTGTTAATAAGTTTTTCAACCATTCCTATTTCAGGGTGAAATCCAAAATGTTTAGCACAAGCAAACTAATGCAAGTGACACACTCCGCATGTTCATAGTATCAAGAAGTAATGAAGTTAGTCTGCTTAAGTAAATCCAGCAATATTGAAGAAAAGATAATTTAAATGTTGACACTCGTGGGTTCTTTCTTTAATAATAATAATGAGAAAGGTTTAATTTATTGGGAAGTTAGTCTTAAATAGTGTGTATATGGATGACATATATCCACTTATTAACTAATTAGGAGTGAGTGAGTAGGAAATCAGAATAGTCTTAACGTGCAAAAATTATGAAAATTAACATCATAATCAGGAATATGCTTGAAACCATGCTTCAGTGTAGAAAGTATTTCTCAAAAACTGCATTTAAAATTTTGTAAAATGTCCTTAACAGCAGGTTTTCTATTTATATGAAGTAATGTTAATGAGTAGGTTCTCATGTATGAACAAGTTTTAATCACTATTAAGTTTAAAATTTACTTTATAAGTTGGTTAATACTAAGACATTTATGATCTGAACTCAACTTTTATCCCACTTTCTCACATAAATGCATTATAATCTAACATCGATTGTGCTTAAGTCCTCTACTTGTGTAAATGAAATTACATGAATTTTATATAAAGAACATTTGACTGCTGTGGTAATATTCCAGAAGACTGATAAGTATTGAAACATTGTAAAAACACAGTTTACATGCTTAGTTAACAGCTTTTACTGGTAATGAGATCATGAACAGAAAGAAAATGTATATATATTGAAAATTAATTACCTGATCAATCTGCAAACAGGAAAATAGTCAAATGAGAATACCTTAAAACTAGTGAAATAACTAACTTTTCCAGTGTCTTAATCTTTCAAATTATTCAAATATAATGGAAAACAAACTGATTAGTATTTTTATAAAGAAATAGAAATAGGGTACATAAAACTACAGTTAAGCTATTAATATATTTAACTCATATTATGAATCAATGAAAGTAAACTTTATAATAAAGATTATTGTATGTGAAAACAAACTCTGAGACTTGGGTTTGAACTCAGGGCCAGTGATCAATTGGATAGTGCACTGGCCTTGTTAGCCAAAGGCCCTGGATTGAAGCCCCAGTCCTGGCATTTCTTTTCACTAACAGTAATGTTTGTTAGAAAGTTTACTTTTATTAATTTAGTGAACCTAAGAAACAAAACTCTTAACAATTATTGTAAAATTTAACTATTACAGTTTAGAACAAATGACCTATTTGATGCTGTTGATACAGTTAGTAGTTGAGACAACCTTGTAATGCAGTCGTATTCACTACATGGGCACTTGTCTTTCCTGTGGCCCAGAAGAGAGAGGAGAAAAAATAATAATAATGACATAGATATTGTTAAGATTATCAATCATTGTTGAAAGTTAAAAAATAAACTGCCACAATCAACATCAGTCAGAAAGCAAGAGTGCAGTGTATGAGGAAAAATGCTATGATTACTGTACTGTCCCATCACAAAGTTAAGATGTTTCATTTACTCCTTCCACCATTACCCTCAAAAGCTTATTGAAACTTGTCACTTGGGCCAACCGTTACATGTTCCCAGACATGATGTTTCCTGTGCTTCAAGAGACCAGTGGTTGAGTGAATCAACACTGTTTGTTAGTTGTCTCGGTAATGTTGCCATGTGTGGATGTGCCTATGTGACTGTTGCATGATAAGTAGATATTTGGTCAATATTTACTGCTCATTTCTTATTTTTATAAATTCCTGTGATGATATCAAAAAATAATAGTGATGGCAGGTGTGTCTTAAAAAAGTTTCCAACTGAAAAATTCAGGACGAGTAGAAGACTTTTCAAGACGAATGGGAGCAAGAGTTTTTCTTCATGCATGGGAAAAGAGAAGGTTTTGTCATATGTTCGTTATGCCCAATTATCCCAAACGGTATAATTTGAATGGGAACCACAGTACTGTAAATTTTCCTTTGAAATCTAAAAAGAGGGGAAATGAATTGCTGTATTTGAAAAAGAAGGAGTATTTGAATTTGCTGAACAAAAAAACATTGTTATGTGCTGTGACCTGAAGTGAACTTATTACAAAAGCATCCTATGAAGTGGTTGCAGAATGAAGCCATTTATTGATACGGAGTTAGTTAAAGAGTGTATTTCGACAGTGTATAACACATTATTTTCCAATTTCCTGAGCAACAAACACAATCGTGAGGAAATAGGCAATCTGTAGTTGCTGACATGACTTGTGCAACAGGAGCAGAAGATCTTACAGATGATATATTTTCTATAATCATTGATGAATTAAGAGAGTGCCAATGTTTTAGCTTGGCTCTAGACTCCTCAACAGATCTTATGTCCACTTCGTAATTAATTTTGTTTGTTCAATATTGTTCAAAAAAAGGATTTATAAGATTATTTTTAACAATGATACCAGTAACAGGTCAAACTTGAGAAGTAGATTTATAGCAAACTGTTAAGATATTTTTTGAAAAACATAGACTCGACTGGGACAAAATTGTAACTGTGTGTTCTGATGGGTGCCTTTCCATGCTCAGCACAAACTCTGGTTTTGTTTTCTTCTTAAGAAAAAGTTAAATAAACCCAACTTATAAGCTACTATTGTATTCTTTATCAAGAAAACATGTCATCAAAGTTCCTTGAAGACTTCAGTAATACAATGAAAAAGCTGTCCATACTGTCAACAATATTCGAAGCACAAGAAATCAACCATCATGCTTTCTGGGAGGCAAAATCCTGGAAAGAGTCTTCAATCTTCACCTCAAAATTAAGCTTTTTCTTGCTGAACCTAATGCAAGTTATCCTGAGCTGCACAGTGTTGATTTTTGGTACAAAATTTCATTCCTCACAGATATTACTGAGATGTTAAACTAATCTTCAGGGAGAAAATAAATTAATAACCCAGATGACTAGCACTGTTCTTGCATTCACAGAGAAACTTTCCAAACTTCCATCTCTTTGTTCAAAACAATCCAGAAGAAAGTATTGATGTGACATACTTCATCCAGTTGTTGACCCTCTTGCAGAAAGAAATGGACTATAGGTTCCAGAACCTTGGAAAGTTTCATCATTCTTTTCATCTTATTGAAAATCCATTGGTAATTTCAACCAAAGATGTGTCAGAACTAAGTATTCTTGGCTAGAAATGATATACTTGAAAAATGAACTGACTGACTTGCAAAAAGGCAAGGCACTGGAAGGTATATTACAAGAGAAAGTTAAAATGAGTTTTGGAACATGCTTCTAGAAAAACAATACCTTTGTTATCCTGTGCCAAAAACATTATATCTCTCTGGTTTTTTTTTGTCAACATATATGTGGGAAGCAACTTTCAGTAAGTTAAATTCATGAAGAGCAGACACAGCACCCGACTTATTAATGTGCACTTGGACCAGCTTCTTAGGCTTGCTGTTTCAAAACGACCAGCAAATATCAACAAAATATTGCAAAAATCTGAAAGGTTCCACCCTTCAGTATCAAAATATAGATAGGATGTGGTATTTATACGTTTTTATTGTAATTAATTTGTTTATCTTTTATAATAATTTTTTGTTTTACACACCAAAATATATTTATGAAGAAATATATTGCAATGAATCTATAAATAATTTTTGAATTCTACTTGCAGCCCGATCAAAATTTTCTAATATCGCAATGGGCTCTAACTATTTATCTAGTGAATGCCACTGTTGTAATTGGTATTTAAAAATATACGTACGGCAGAAATCTTTTTCATCCATAAGATTGTTGAACAATTTGCCAAAACATTCACACCACTCTCATTCTTAATTTAGTTTTGCATTGTTCACAATACTTTTCAAATCACGAATGAGGTTAAGAGTCAACACATCAGGTAAAAAACAAATTTACAACATTCCTGTATCTGTACTTCCTAATCATGTAACTATTAACTTGAAAATTCACAACCAATAGCAGTTTTCACAAAACATTTAAGGACAAGATGTCTTTTGGTCCATCAAGACTGCCTCATTCAATTAAAAAAATGTTCAAATCCTGATTAAATTATCCAACCCAGATAATTTAAATATTTATTGAGCTTTTCCTTACACATTCTTAAATTTCCTGTATCAACAGCATCTGAAGGCAACCCATTCCATAGGCCAACCACCTTGCTAGAAAAAATTAACTGTCTCAGCTGAAGATGACTCCTTCTCTCACAAAATTTATATTTATTTGTGTACCCTTGTTATACTATTCTCCTCATTAAATATGTTCAAAAAAAAGATGCATCAATACCATCAATTCCCTTAATAATAAATATCTCAATCATATCCACTCTAATTCTTCTTCTATGATTCATATTATTTGTTTTTTATCAAAATTGTTTTGGCCCACTTCTCTT